AAAAATTCAATTGGCAGCAACATATCCGCCAAAAACAATAAAGGCTTGCTCCCCAAGGGTGTTGCCGTTAGGCGGACAGCACCGTAATTTAGAAGGTACCGGTACGTGTAGATCTAATTTACACACTACAATAATAATGCGCGAGCTGAGGTGAAAGAGGAAGGGTTGGCGTGGACTAGTGGGCGGTGAAATCTGCACAATGCATGCGCGCTTGCACAAAGCGCTTTTTTATTAAGAAGGCATGCACATAACTTTTGTTATACGTGGTTTTCGACTGGTACAATCACTTGCTCATCTTACATGACCAAAACGTCCGAATTTCTTTTCAGACATAGCCCGCATCCACGGCAATCCTTATAATAGGTGTTTGTGGTGTAGTAGTTAGACACTTAATTATAGCTGTCGTAAGCAGGAGATCCGAGTTCGGTTCCCGAGTGGGGAGTTTTGTGGAGTATCTGGGTCTTTCTGCTAGGATGTTGTATTCCAGCCCTGGTTGGTCTGGTAGGCAGTGTTGAAAGCCTGCGCCCTTCTAAAATAATATGGTCAAAACTGTGTCATGTCAAAGGGGCGTAAAAATACCTACAATAACAACGGTAACCCTTTCTCTTCTTTTATACAGCGTGGGACTGGTGCTATCAATTTCAATAAGCTAGGGTATCGTATCATAATGTCCTGTCATATAAAATTTTACTTTGAAGCCTCTGCCTCTACTAATTGCTCTATGAAAAAAAAATTACTCTCTCTTTCTTCCCTGTGGAACCAGTATGATTTACGAGTAATTATTATTTCTACCTCCTTACTAGACTGTCTTTCAGCCACACCCCTGATCTTAGGGTAGGTAAGATGTAACACCTAGCCTTGTCGTTATAGGCTGAGGGCGGATGTCCCGTGTGCAAGTTACGCACATTAAAGTAGTCAAAGATCCCTTGGTGGTCGAAAATCGATAAGAGTAGGCTTCTGCTGCCACTCGGGCAAACTTCAAAATGTCCTACTAGATTTACATTTAGATCTAACTGAAAATATTTAAAGTGCCTCGCGCGCTCACAATAATGACCCAATGCAGTTTCGAGCGCCATAAAACACGTACCAAAAAGAAAAGATCTAAAAGGAAAGCAAAAATTAATTTAAAAAAACATTTATTAATTACAAACGGGGGTTAGAGCTGAGAAAGCCAATTCAACTTTCTGCCAATTGAAATTCGTGTTTAAAGAATCAGTTCTACCTAATAACAAAAGAATAAGTTCTAACTACCACTTCTTTAACTGTCTTCCGATGACCGAATTCTTCTTTGGTGGAATCGACTGTAACTATGTATGAGGAATCGACTGTAACTATGTATGAGTTTAGAAAATCTCCAACATCCATAAACAGAAAAACCTTCCTCTCCGTTCCCGCCCTAGACTATTCTTTTCCATTTTTCTCCCTTGACACCCGATCCCTATTTCACTCTCACACTCTAAATCTGAGGCAACATATCATGCTGCTCCCCGTTCCCTTCTAAAAACCAAACCAAACCAAACAAACAACCAACATTAACAGCAGCCCCCCCCCCCTAAAAAAAAGGAGTTGTACATTGTACTCGTAGGCCTAGGTAGCTACTGCAAGACGACAAAACACCACCCCCGCCAAAACAAAAACAAAACAAAA